GCAGAGGCAATGTGGGCACTTGCCCCGTCTCCTGCTGATGCCCTGCTGCTGTGTTGGGTGTGGGTTGTGGTGACAGGACACTGGCTGGGGCACTGCAGTGGGGCGGCATCAGCATGCTCCGTCCTCTCCTGTAAACCTGTGCAAACAGGTCTCGTCTCAGCTCAGCATGCTCTGTGACATCGCCCATTCCCGGCTGCCTCCCGCAAAGTGGGGTCAGTAGCATCGTGGACGGTTCTGTGAACTAGGCCATCCCTGTCCTGAGTGGCTCCAGGTGTCGGGGCTACTCCGAGCATGCACTGAGGAGTGGTATCCTGGTAGCGGCCCCACGTGGTCACACTTCTGCATATTCTCCTCTATTTAGCCCGTTCCACGTCCCTCATGCCACATTAGAGGTAGTTTTCAGTTGCGGGGGAGATAGGGAGTTACTGTTCTCACCTCACTGAGATGTGTGGAGGGGTCCGTGTGCCTGGGGGCGGGGCTTCAGGGTCATCCTGCAAACCTCTCTCACACATGGAACATATTCTTTGCAGCTCCCAGAGAGAGACGGGCACCTATTCTTGGAGAGGATGAGCCCGGGAACTGGGGGGAGAGCTAGTCCCAAGCCGGTACCTGACTCCAGGCAGAAGCGGTACTCCAGGAGCCCCGGGCGGCGGAAGCATTGCAGAAGATGGCAAAGCTCATCAGAACAATGCCCTCCTCTGGGGCAGTGGTGCAGGTGGGCACCTCCGGGAGAGGCAGGGAGCTGATCACGTAGGTGCCCTCCCTGTAGGCGCGCCTGGTCGCCACTGGGGAGAGGAGACAGAGGGTGCTTAGGGGGCTGTGTGAGGCGCACAAACTCTGCCACGGTTCACAATCTCCTGGGAGCTTGTTCAACATGCAGGTTCCCAGGCCCACTCTCCGGGGCCTCAGGCCTCTCTGTAGATTCTGGGGTGGGGCCCAGAAATCTGCATATCTAACAGCTCCCATGCCCACCCCCTCGCCCCCTTGATGCAGGGCATTCCAGGGTCTCACTCTGAGAAACTGGGCAGAGATAGAATCCCAGTCCTGCCATTTACTATCCGTGTGACCTTGGCTTTGACCTTTTTAAGAATCAGTTTCTCATCTATAAAATGCGGCTAATAATAATAGCTTCCTCCCAGGGCTTTAGTGAGGAGGGAGTATATCGGGAAACAAGACTTGCTCAAGAGACCGAGTTAGGACGGGCCACAGCCAGGATCTGGAAACACGCAGAACTCACCCAAAACCATGGGCTCCCATAGCACCATGAAGAGCCCCCAGCTAACCTGCGCCAATACCCCACACCACCTGTTATAATCACCTGGTTTTTCAAAAGGAGGGCACACCTGGAAGAGCTGGGTATAGAGAATTTTAATCAATTAAAATGAATTCCCTGGCCTACACTTAATTCAGAAGGTTTGGGGTGAACCCAGGAGTGTGCATTTTAAACTAGTACCCCAGGTTATCCTGGGCGGGTGGTCTGTGGGCCACTTTGAGAAATACTGAATCAAAGGAATGCATCTAAAAAAGAATAATCACCCCATTATTTATCTTTTTGAGAGTCTACTTTTCCTGCTGCTCTGGGCTTGTTTTAAGTGAGAAGCACTGAATCGCCTGGCAGGACGTGTAGGCTGCACACCCCACTGCTTTTACCACTGGTAGTGTGTCATCCACCCTGCATCATACAGTTCAGAGGCGGGTGTTTCTGTTGTGCTGTTTGCATGAGAGGAAACTGAGGCACAAGAGACCTTGAATCCGATGCCTGAAGTCTTCCAGTTAGAAGGTGGCGGTGGTGGGATTCACACCAGAGCCTGTGTATGGCCCCCACCCTGCACTGAAATCCCCTGTTTCAGCGCTCCTGGGTTTGTCTTGCTCACTGTCTGCAGGAGACAGGATCCGAGGCCTTCCCACCTCTGACTCTGGTTCCGGTGGCCTGGCTGCGGGTCCTCAGGAAGGAGCTGTTCAGCAGCAGGGTGGCAGTGTCGCTCTGAAGGAGGATTAAAGAACGCGGCCAGAATCCTTGGAGTCTGCAGGCAGCTGGGAGGGGCTCGGCCTGAAAGAGAGCACAGCCCAGGGCCCCTGAGGCTGCAGCCAGCCTACAGGACTCAGCAGGGCAGTGGCTTCTGACCCTGGGAGGCCTTTCGGATTTGTCTCCAATGGATGGACGGCAGTATCACCTGCCCTCCTGAGGTCAGCCCAAATAGCCCATCTCCAGCCGTGTTAGGGTGTTTGTCCTTGGCCAGGTTCCCTGGAAGCAGAGTCTGAGACAAGGGTTTGTGTGCAGGGCATTTACGAGGGAGGGCTCTCAGGCAAAACCAGGAGGGCAGGGAGGGAAGCCGAATGGGGTGGAGAATGAAACAAGGCATTCGGGAGGCATCCGGCTTCATTCAGCCTGATCCCATGGGGAGCTCTGGAACATAAGCTGCACCACAGAAATTGTCTCACTCAGAGCCCAGGGGGCTAGGCTGTTAGACCCCACAGTTATTGGCCAGCAGCCGCCCCATCGCAGCTGGGGGATGCCTGCATCAGCCTGGTAAGGATGGGCTGGGGCACCCACAGCATCTGCTGCGATGTTTCCCTATTGTTTCTGCTCCACTGCATCCGTCCTGTCTTCTGACCAATGCTCCCCAGCCCCCGACTCCTACTCCTCGGGCTCTGAGTGGAGTTGACCAACCCCCAGCTCAGTCCTGGGCATGTGACCCAGGTCTGGTCAATCAAAGTGGGAAGACGTTTCTGTTTTTGAGAGGCTGCCAGTGTCCTCACCTTCTCCAGCGGGGTGTCATCTAAATACCAGCTGAACACGGCTGCTGCAGACTTGTCCCCCACGGTGACCTTGAGCATAACGTCCCTGCTGGCATTCACTGGCCTGCAGTTCTCCTCACAGCTGAAAGGGAGACAGAGAACGGAGCAGGCATGCTCCCTCAGACGTTGTGGCCGCCCACCTGGTCTTTTGTCCAGTTCTTCTCAAGTCCTTTGAGAAGGTAGGAAATGGCTTTGTCAAGTGAAAGATGGAATAAAAACAATTTCTGCCCCAACCAAAACCAGGTCACGAAGATGAAGCGATTCGTTCCTGCCTGAATTCCCATTTCATTCACTGCACAGGAGAACGACTCGGAAAGTGCGTGAGGCTGAGAGAGGACCCTAGGCTCCATTCCCGCCCCTGCCACTTGTGAATGACTGCTTTGCACAAGTCACTTAACCTCTCTGAGCCTCAGTTTCCTCACCTGTAAAGTGAGGGGATAAGAGCAGTCAATTTCCATGATTCTTTCTAGTGCTAATAATGACCAGTGAATCCTGTGATTTTACAGCACACATGCCACATCCCATTGTTATTAGCTTAGCCAGTGCTGACCACAACCCTATCAGAATCCCCATATCACAGACGAGCAGACTGAGCTCAGAAAGTTGTGTGATTAGTCCCAGTGACACAACTCCTGAGTGGGGGATGGAACATGGGCCCACACGTCTGGACCCGAGTCCTGGGCCTTCTGTGTAATGTCATATTCCTTCACATGAGCCAGTGAGAGATCACTGACTCCTGCTGTGTCCAACCCATCCCCAGTCCTTTCAGTATGAGCTTTAAAATAGCTCTCGAATCTCCCCACTTCTGTCTTCACGTCTACCCTAGTGCAAGTGAGCCAGACATTCTCCATTTGCTCCTGCAGCCCACTTGCCATCAACTCTGTGGCTCTGTGCGCCAGGGACTGATCTCCATAGACTGCATCATCGAGTCTCCACACCAGCCAATGGGCCCAGCCAATGGGGAGCATTGAGAGGAGAGAGGTTGGGATAGTTATTCACCACTTTCCCTGCTCCTTACCAAATGGACTGCAGTTGGCAGAGGCCGTGTTCCTCTGGCCAAGGCCACAGCTCGTGCCGGGGGCACCTCTCCCACAGCTGCAGCTCCCAAGGGGGTTCCAGTGATGCCAGCCCCTTCTCTTACCCCTACAGGCCTAAGAGGGACAATGGCTTCCTCCTGTTGTAGTCCTGCATTGTCATCCCTGGTTGATCCCCTTATCCCTGCCCTTGTCTGTAAATAGACCCTTTATCCAACGCTCCTCCGTTCCCAAGGAAGGGAGGAAGCCATCTGCTTCCTTCAGGGACCCAGCTGATGGCCGCGCTACCTTGATTCCTGCAAGTGCCTAAGCAACCTCCCTGAGTCCTCTCTCGCCGCCCCCCGACCCTGCCCCAGCCACTTCTCCACCCTGCTACCAGAGCGTTTGGAAGCAAAACGTGATCATGTTCCCAGCCTGCTTAAAAGTCTTGGGTGGCTTTCCAGAACTCTTAGGATAAATACCAAAATCATGTGTCTGACATAACCCTCAAGGCCCTGCCGGAGCCAGGCCCTGCCTGCTCTTCCTCCATGCTCCAGCCACACCAGCCTCTTTCACTTCCGGATTATTGTATGCTCCGTCCCTTTACTGTCTGTCCTGTCTCCCGCCCTCCCTTTTCCTGGCCAAGTTAATTCCTCTTCTGTCTTCACATCTCTGCTGAGGGCAGCCTTCCCTGACCCCGAGTCAGGGAAGTTGTCCTAGAGGTGCGCTCTCTCCTTGCATTCATTTGTGTGAACCACTGCTGATCACCAAGTAACCCCAGTGAGAACTGAGACTGGGTCTGGTTTTACCCACCACTGTATGCCCTGCCCCTTAGTCAGTGTAGCGAGAGCTTGCACTCAGTACGTGTTGGCCAAATGGCAGCCCTGCAGGAGTTTGCTCTGGTGCTCCCACCTGACTCGCAGCCTGAGTTCCAGGGGGGCAGACACACAGAGGCACTGCTTCTCCAGGTTCTGCAGCTCCTGGCCTCTCCAGACTGCCAAGCGCAAAGTAACAGCAGAGTCAGGCATCGGCAGGCAGGACGGTGGCACTACCAGCTCCCTCTGGTCTGTGCAGAGCAGCTGCCTCTCAACATAGTCGCTCCACTGAGCCCAGCAGTGCCCTGAGAGAGAGAGGTGGGCCAATGCTGTGATCCACCCAGGCACCTTGAACTTGACGCATGTGGTTACCTTCTGGTTTGGGGTTTTTAGAGGAAATGGGTCATGGGTAAGAAAATTGGTTCCAAATAGAGATTTTTTTTTTTAATTTTTTAATTTTTTTAGTTTTACTTTCAGGTTGAAGGAATGGTGCCACGGAAGAATGTTTCTGGGAAAATGACCCCCGCTTCACCCAGACTCTGAGCAAACCTGCAGGATATGTTGGCTTGTTTTGCATCAGTGACTTGCACTGGTGAGCAGGCCAGCACAGAGCAGGAGAGGCGCCCAGAGGATATACAGCCCCACCTGGGAGAAGGCGCCTTCTTGTCCCTGGTGTAAGTGATTGTCCACAGCTGTTTGTCTCAGTGAGGTACATTGGGGACCTGGGAAGCTGTATCTCTGTCTGGGAGGCTGCATGTCATCTCCTGCTTTGTACCAACTCAGTAAGTCTCTGTGTCCTTTGCCCTTCAACTCTGTTGATTAATGCGTATCCACTACCCCAACTACCCCTGATATGTAGTCATTCACAGGATATGCCTGGGGTCAGGTCATCAGCTCAATCACCTAAAGCCTATATTTGTATCCTCTATTAATTCAGATAACAAGAACTAACATGCTGAAGGATGTCCTGAGCACTTACTAATTAATATCAAAAGACTTCAAATGTTACATGACTTTTGACCCAGTTGTTCCATTTCTGGGAATTTGTTTATGAAAGTAACCACAGCCGCAAACAAAGATTGAACTGTAAGGATGTTCATTACAGCATTGTTTATAAGGGCAAATAATTTGAAACAACCTCAATGTCCAAAAAGAGGGCACTGGTAAATAAATGATCATGCAACAACTTGACAGTCTATTATGCAGTTATTATGAAAATCAAGATGGAGAAGAAGTATGTGGGATACATTGTTCAATGAAAAAAAAAAGGGTAACAAAAGCAATATGTACAATCTGAATGGCATTCATTTTATTTCTAGAAGAGTGTGTGCATAGCTAGGATATATCCGTATAAAAAGGAGAACAACCATTTCTTAAAAATAGGTACTGGTGCTACCATCTTGGTTTGTCAGAAAAGGCCTCATTACTTCCTCCTTCTAAACTATCTTCTCAGTGGCATACCAAGAACGTGGAGGTTAAAGAGGGGTTCAGTCCAAGAGGGGAGGAGTATTTTACCACTAATGTTGTTTGTGGTGACAATAAAAAAGCAGGGTGAGTTTGAGGGTTTAACTACTCTTCCTAAATTCTCTACAGATAGTGCCTCTCCTGGCTGCCTACCTTCAGGGCCACCCCCATCCTGGTTTGCCACTGCTTCCACCCACCTCTCATTTCCATGGAATTCACAATCTCTGTCACATACAAGGCACACAAAATGTCAAGCATGAGTAATCCTGCTGTGAAGGTTAAGAAAAACAGCAGCAAAAGCTGACCGCTGTCCATCACTCCGTGGTGAGACAGGACGGTTCAGAGTTCTAAGGTCACCTACCACATGCCCACTGGAAGCGAAAGTCCTTGTTACTATCTGGCCAGCCCAGAGTCACTGTCGTGAAAGAATCCAAGTACTGACTGGGTTCCACGCACAGCTCCACATCCCCTCTATCTCTCTGCAGAAAAAGCAGCTGGCTGGTGAGACGCCCTCCACAGCTGGCACCTCACCTTGCGCCCCAGAGCAGTCTGTGCCAGGGGTGGCCACAGTGTGAGGAGTGGAGGCAGACCTGTCTGATCCCCCTAGCCTGCAGGGGATGGATCACTGGGTAAGTGACTAGGCCGAGTGCCGGCTGTGTGCCAAGGGTTCATCATGCGTTCAGCTGCCTTAACAGAGCCTGCTCTGGGCCAGGCCCAGTGCTTGAGGCCTGGAGATACAGGAATAGAGACCCAGCCCCCGCCCTTATACCTAGTCTGACGGACAAGGAACCCAACAATTAAAATGCAGAGTGGTAACTGCTGCAGTAGAGAGGGCTCAGGGGATCGTGATAATAGATGAGGGAGGAAGTAGGTTGAGAACGTCTGTTCCCCCTAAGGGTTTGACAGTGTCTGACTCCTGGGGCTGCTGTGGATCAGATGAGAAAAACGAGTGACGCGCTTCCTCTTGTGTCTGGAGCAGAGGACAGCGCCAAGCTATTACCTCTACACAGCAGACAGCTGGTGTCAGGGCAAGCTTCCCAGAGGACAGGACCCCAGGGCTATGGAGCCGGGGAAGGAGGAGTGAGGGCGAGCTGGGGCAACGATGGAGAGCACATGGATTCAAGGAAAGGGGTTGGCAGGCATGTGGTGTGTTCCAGGATCAGTTCTGGTTAGACCTGTTAAACAGCTCAGGCCCAGAGGGCTTGTCCTGGGAATAACAGGAGGCTGTGGCAGAACTCAGTCCCCAGGGGTCTCTCTGGTTTGAGAATAAAGCTCAACCCCCTTGCCTTGGCACCTGAGACCCCATGTGATTTGGCCTCTGTCCGTCTCTATAATCTCCAACAACAGGCCTCAGGGCCTTCTCATCTACATACCTAGACAGCTCTTGTTCTGCTTTCCAGGATGGCTGACTGTCCTATCTTCAGGTCCCCACTTAAATGTTACCTCTCAAGAGCCCGTGTCTCATCACATTTGCTAGTCCACCCTCTGTTAGTTGCTGTCACTGCACTGTATTGGTTCTAGTTAGAAGCGTCACAGGTCTTAATTATATGCTAACTTGTTAGTTAGTTTCACCCACTAAGGTTCGTGAAGGCAGGGACCACATCTGTTTATTCACCATTGTTTCCCCAGCCCCTAATACCAATCCTTGAACATTGGAGAGGCACAATAAATCTTGTTATTGAATAAACGCATGCATGAGCAATGTCAACAGCAAGGAGTCAAAGACTTAGTCTTGCTATAAATACTAAAAGACCTGGGCCTTTCTTCTAATATAAGCATTAAAAGCCATGAATTTCCATCCGAGCACTGCCTTAGCTGTATCCCATAAATTTGGATAGGTTGTATTGTCATTATCACTTAAAATATTTTAAAATATCCTTGTGATTTTTTTCCTTTGACCCACTGATCTTTTTCTTAAGAAGTGTGCTGTTTAATTTCCAAGATGTCTGAGAGATATCTACATATCCTAGATAACTTATTATTGATTTATAACATGATGCAGTTGTGGTTAGAGGACATGCTTCATTTGATTTCAGTCCTTCTGGGGTTTTTTGTTTGTTTGTTTGTTTTTGCATTACGCGGGCCTCTCACTGTTGTGGCCTCTCCCGTTGTGGAGCACAGGCTCCGGACACACAGGCTTAGCGGCCATGGCTCACGGGCCCAGCCGCTCTACGGCATGTGGGATCTTCCCGGACCGGGGCACGAACCCGTGTCCCCTGCATCGGCAGGCGGACTCTCAACCGCTGCGCCACCAGGGAAGCTCCCTGGGTTTCTTTTTAAACAGAAGAAGTCTCAGTGATTGCTAGTGCTCTGGCTGTTAGCACCAAAAAACCCAAATTCAAAACTAAAACAGAGTACTTAGACATCTTTTTCTTGTGAGGTTAAGTGTTTTGAAAAAAAATACTCACATTCTTTTTCTGAGCCTTTGTTCCAGGTGGTTCTTGGAGACTGAAAGGAGCTATGAACACAGTGGGGATGGGTGTCAGACGTTGGTGGTGTTTATAAGGTCACCAAAGGGCAGAGTCAGCGGGTATGCTGAGGATGCCCTGGGAGTATCTGCCTGTCTTTGGAAATGGTTTAGGGACACGCAGAGAATATTCAGGTTGTAGGAAATGGGTCAAAATCAAAACCGTCATGTTCACCGCTGGGCTATAGACACCTCGTTGGCAGGTAAGAAAGAGGTGGGCAGCTGCCAATGGCCTGTAGAACAAGATTAAGGTCAGACTTGCAGCTGTTCGCCGTTAATGTTTACCTGCCAGTTGAAGGGTGAGGGTGGGGAGCCCTCATCTCATATGCTATTTTCTGTGGTGCAAATGTTCCCATAAAGGCAGATTTCAGGATACCAAGTTGACCTCACTGAATGCATAGTGGGAGAGATGGGCACAACCAGCGCTGGCAGGCTGGTAGGAGCTGGACTCAGCACACCATGGTGTGTTTCTGGATCCATCCATTGGCGTCTTAATGGCTGTGCGAACCTCGGCAGGTTCGTTACTCTTTCTGAGCCTTAGGTGCCTCATCTGTAAAGAAGGCTGAAGGCAGCCCTTATTTCTCAAAGCTCCAGGAGGACTGAATGCTGTGCTGTATATATTAGTGCTTTGTCATCGATTCATCTGTAAAGAAGATTAGTGTGTCAAGTTAAAAAAAAAGGAAAAGGTACTCTCAGCTGATATGCTCTGAAGATATTGAAATGTGAGTTTGATTAATATCTAATTAAAGTGTAGTGATTAAGCTAAGCACTTAGGGTTGGTCATTCCATGTGATTCACTAGGCCCTGGTGACTTGGATGTTTTAAGATCAGGATATTACTGATCTTTAAAGAATTCCCTCTCGGTGAGTTATTATTCTCACAATGATAAGTTTGAAGGTCTGTAAAATCATACAAAACAAAGCTAAAATGCCAGACACAGAGATCTTTCTTAACCGTAAGAAGGAAGATGGTCCAATAACCCTGAATGAAGAAATCCAGAGAAATTGTTGCTACCCTGATCCTGCCATGAATTAGCTGAGTGACTTTTGCAAAGTCACTTAACCTCCCTGGACCTCAAATTCCATACGCGGAAACTCCTAGGAGGACGGTGAACAGTAAGTAGAACGGACATCTCATATTTTCTTCCCCCGTCCAGGCATCCACGCCCCCTTCTTTTGATAATGGCACTTACAGATGATATTTTCCCTGGGGAACCATCCCTCCCCACCCTCAGTCCTTTGGGTGAATCTGATCCTACATCATGTTCCGGGGTGGACGTGTGATCCTGGTCTGCCCTGAGTACCACTCCCCTCTGGTCTCAGCAACAGGTCTAGGAGGGACCATGAACCAAGCTTAGACAAGTGAGAGGCAGCCTCAGGACTTGTTCTGAAAATATCAACACAGAGATGCTCTTTCTCCTCTGGGGTTAAGGACTGAAGCCTGCGGCCATCTTGCTACTACTTGGGAAGAGGGAGTCGGACTGAAGCCAACATAGAACCAAGAGATGGAGAGAGGCAGATTTCCGAAGACATTGAGTGGCTGGATCCTGCTGTGCCTAAACCCTGGACTTTAATTTTCTGAGTTGATAAAATTTCCTTTGGCTTGAGCCATTTTGAACTGCTTCTGTTTCTCTTGCTACTCAAAATTCCGGGCAAACACAGTCAAGGTGAATTTTAAGACAGTGACATCTACTATTGGCTGCCTACCAACAGCCAATACCCTGCTCTTCCTCTTGGCTGTCAGAATCCATCTTCTCCCACAGAGCCTAAAAATACTGGATTCCCAGCATCCCTTACAGCTGGGCACCTGACCCTACTTTGGCCAATGGTATCTAAAGGGAAGATTGCTGGGGACTAGCGGGCAAGAATTTTTTCCCTAATAAAAAGAGATGCACAGGGGGACGTGGGTTTCTGCTGCTGCTGGATAATGCTGGGTTGACACGTGATGTCTGGAACTGCAGCAGCCATCTTGATTGCATGAGACACAAGCGTAAGGACCAAGCGAAAGCTCTGAGGATGGCAGTGCAGAATGACAGACTGAGCCTGGGTCCTTGCTGGTGACACTGAGCCACTGAACCAACCCTGGAACTAACTTCTTAGTTATGTAAGATGATAAGACTTGAACTTAAAGCCACTTATATTGGGCTTTCTATTATTTGAAGCCTAAAGCAGTGTAACTACTACAAATTCGAATGTTTTAGAATTCTGTATCAATGGTTGGATGTTCTGTTGCTTACATTATTGCCTATTTAGAGTAACCAGAGAATTCTTAATATCTGTAGGACAAAATAAGTATTCAAAGCTCTGTTTTGAGGGGCCCCTCACTAGATTCCCGAGGAAGCGCAATGCCCTAAACTCCTGGTCACAAGTTTTATACCCCCTTGCAGAAAATTCTTACCTGTGACAGTGATGCTTCCAATTTTCAAACTCAAGTTTGAGAAGGCGTTCCTCACCAGCACAGTGACCAGAAAGGTGCCTGCAATGCAAAGGGTGGAGAATTATGGGCACTGTAATAAATTGTTTAACTTGCTCTGAGACAGTTCTCCCAGCCTGTGCTTCTCCAGTCCTCTGATGGCAGTATCTGACTCTTTCATCATCAAAGAATTTAATGTATCCCTGATGTATGCCAGGCACGGTGCAAGGCTCTGGGGACACAGAGATGAATGAAACATGGTCCTTGTCCTCAAGGCCTTATGGTCTAGTAGGCATGTGGGACACTCCAGGGTGGGAATCGGCATGGGAGGCAGTGTGGGCGTGGGGTTGGGGGTCTGCTTCTACCTTGGGGGAGAAAGAAATGGTTAATGAGGTGGGGCAGGGGCTAGAGCTGAAGTTCAAAGGATGAGCAGGTGCTCATTTGCCAGATCAGAGAGGAGATTCCAGCAGAAGGAGGCCCATGACACGGTTTTAAAAGGGTCGAGAGAGTGGGGAGGCGAGAGGAGGATTTGTCAGAAGACTTGGAGAGAGCCGCTGCTACATGAGTATCCCCGGCCCCCTGCCTCCCTCATGGGGAAGAGGTGGTGGGTGCTACCTTCTTCTATTCTGAAGCCTGGAGAGAAGGTCTTCAGAGAGGGCCCTTGGTGAGCTGGGTATGTGTTCTTTGAGGCTGGGAACCCCCATGGACAGGTTCCTTACTCGCGCCCTTGGAATGATCTATGGCGGGTGGAGGGGAGGGAAGGGGAGAGAGGAGAGGCAGCATTTCTGCATTTGGGAAATGACCACAGTCGGCTGGGAGCAGCCGAGGACTTGGTGAGAGTTTTCTAAGGACCAGATGTTAGCCTTAGAGGCGGTGGGGGCGATGGAGAGGGTAGAGAGAGTGAGGGGAACAGAGAAAGGGACCCTGTTGGTGACAGGAGAGCCCTGGACTGAGTGAATTCTTATTGGTAGTTGTAGTTGTCTGACATCTGTAGCTGTCAGTTGTCTATGAGCCTCAGGAGCCCATAGAAGCCCCTACGAGAGGCGGCTGCAAATGTCTGCTGGGCGGTGAGAGCAAGGCCAGCACCACCAAGTGAGGACCTTCCTGTCCTGCCTGGTTCCCTTTCCTTCCCCCCTCACTCCCTTCACCCCTGGAGGCATCCAGTCTGTTTTTCTCATGGGGAGGAGAGGCTGCCCATCTAAGAGTGAGCCCCAAAGTCACAGGGGGTATGGGGACTTCATCTCTTACCTCCTACCAGGTAACTTTTATAGGAGACAAAAACTAATTTGCATTTGAATTACAGCCTCTTTATTATAGTTTCCATTGTCATTCCATTTCATTTCCAGATTCTTCCTGTTCCAAACTGTACCTTTGGTACCTGGCAAAATTGCAATGTTTCTCTTCTTGACTCTTGTCGTTCCTTCTGCCATCTCTTTTGCCACATCCCTTGCTGAGGGCATGGTAGCCCATACCTGTACCTCATTACCCCCTTTCTCACACACCTCTGAGGTCCAGGGTAGCGGACCTGGGTGGGCTGGCGACTCTGCCCCCTTCATCACTTTCCTGCCTGCTGACCTCACCACACTGCCCTCAGAGACATTCTGTTCTTTCCAGATTAAATGCACGTCAGCTGTGGCCTCCTGCCCTGGCTGGTGCCAGCCGGTCTGCTGCCCTCTCTCTATTCCAGGCAGCCTCCTGATACCTCCTCTCTTGTTCCTCTCTCTCCCACCCTTTAGTTTTTACCCATCTCTCTCCCGCAGGGCGTGGACTGCAGTTTCCCGAAACACATTCTCCTCTAGAAATGATGGAAGAAATCCAAGTACTCCCGCTCTCTTCCAGTGATTCTCAGTGGGGGTGATTTTGCTCCCCAGGGCACAGTTGGCAATGTCTGGAGACATCTGTAGTTGTCATGACTTGTGGGCTGGGGCTACTGGCACCCAGTGGGTCGAGGCCAGGCATGCTGCTAAACATCCTACAGTAGACAGGACGGTCCCCACAACAAAGAATTATCTGGTCCCAAATGTCAGAAGTGCCAAAGTTGAGAATCCCTGTGACTATAAGTTCTATAACTGCAGGTAATAGCTGTCTCTTCCTTATTTTGTGACCCAGGCTGGATGCTGTGAACCATCTTTTTGTCTGGAACACACTGAAAAACTGGCTGGCAGAACCCTGGACACCAAGTCAGGAAGGGAAGAGGAGGGAGGTTTGGAAGGGGAGCCACAAACTCCAAGTACCTTCAAGAGGAACTGCCACGTGGTGAGTCCCAAATGGCCCCCCAAGGCTCTCTTTCTCATGGGAGAAGGTTGCATTGAGTCCTGCCACCTCAGAGGTCAGCCTCTCCGGGATACCGTGAGCCGCCGAGACATTGACCAGTAGGTCCTGTCCAAGCTCCAAGTTGCCAGAAGCCCAGGAGGCCTGCAGGCCTGACAGGGGCTCCACGAAGTAGATGGTGATGTTTCTGGAGGGGGCAGAGGTGGTGGTGTTGCTGGTGGCTCAGATTTCCATGTGGTGCATCCCTGGGCCCATCCGTTGCTGGACTGCTCCACCCAGCGTCACACTGTAGGGGAGCGGGCCCCTCTGCGTGGTGAAGTCAGCCAGGGTTGTGTTACCTGACAGCACAGTGTAAGTCACCCCTGTTCCTAGGTGGAGTATTTATGAATGTCAGTCATGCAGTAGATTATACTGAGGTAGTTCAGACTCCAGTTGTAAAGTCAGATTCCACATATAGACATAGGTATGGATATAAAGACATATGTAAGGATATATCCTCCCCACCCAAATATTAAAACGGATTATCTCTGAGTGTTGGGTTCATGAGTGATTTTTCTTTCAGGGCCCTCTCTGCTCACCTGCATATTCTAATTATTTATTTTATTTTATTTTAATTTTATTTATTTGGCTGCGCCGGGTCTTAATTGCAGCACACAGGATCTTCATTGCCACGTGTGGGTTCTTAGTTGCAGCATGCAGGATCTAGTTCCCTGATGAGGGATCAAACCCAGGACCCCTGCATTGGGAGCGCGGAGTCTTAACCACTGGACACCAGGGAAGTCCCTCTAATTATTTATACTATGCATGTGTTACCATAAACTTAAAAGTTTGTAGTGAAAACATCAGAACATTTTGTTGATAGAGATATCCTTGTGGCGAGAAAGGCTCAAAAGGTAGCATCTCCCAAGGGTGTGGCTGGTTTTTTATGCATGAGAATTAGCCTCCAGTCTTGTCTTAAGCCCAAGCAGGGAAGCCCTTTCCATCTCCATGACTAACTGCCTGAAACCCTGCCCAACGGGAGAACTCAGCCTGTTCACATTAAGATGAGGCTCCCTTACAGACTGGGGCTGGTTATCCTAACTGGGTGCTAAATATTGTGGTTGACTCTTAAAAAATATGATTTAAACCACTAAATTAAGATTCTTTCCAATAGAAACCAAGCTAGTATATTTCTTGTTTGAGTGATGCTACTGCTGCTGCTGATGGTGTTGATGTAAAGCCCTCTGAGAACAGGAACGCTGACTTTCATGTTTATTGCTGCCTCCCCCCATACCTGACAAAGAGTAGTCACTCAATTATATCTGTAGAATGAAAAAAGATTATCTTAAGTTCTTCCAGGTGCACCTAGCAAGCCATCTTCAGCCAACAAGCACACCAGAACAGAAAGGAGCCCCAAGCACTGTGTTTAAAGTCCCGCTATAGATCCATGAAGTTACTGCTCTGAGTGAGGCTCCGGGTGGTATGAGGTTGGACTGAGACATGTCCTCACCTCCACAGCTCTGTGCCACTCAGTTTATATCAACAGGCCTCTGTCCAGATCTCAGACTGGACCTGTGCCTTGAGGAAAGATACTGCCTTCGGTGAGGATGGGAGAGCCTCTATTGACAGAAGGGGTGATACTCAAAATATTTAACAACTGAAACTGCATGGGCACCAGCTAAGTAGAATGGTGTTCTGATAAATCAGAATGGACACTGTGACCAATCTGAATGGATGCTATGACCAATTAGAATGGACGTTGTGACCAATGAGAAATATTGCTATGACCAATCAGAATAGATGCCATGACAAATCAGAATGGATACCCTGACTGATCAAAAGGGACATGATGGCCAATCAGAATGGCCTCTGTGACCAATCAGAAGAGAAACTGAGCAATCAGCACAGACACCAGCCATAACAGCTGCTGCAGTTGATTATCAGCCCTAACTGGGGGCAATGTGATTGTGTCAAGCTGGTCAATGCTGGCTGTGCTGAGATTCACATTCCCCCAACAGGGAACGGCTTGGAAGTCCAAGTCTTGTGATGGGACTAGGGGCATGCAAATGGTCTTCAGAAGGCTGGTTGCTCTCACTAGCTTACTAGCCTTGTGACTTTGGCCAAATTTCTCAACCTTCCTTCCATTTCTTCCTCCGTAAAACGTATTGGGTGGGCTACTATATAAGCACTTAGACCAGTTCCTGGTATACAGTAGGTGCTAAATAAATGCATGGCTAAGAAACTAACTCTGTAAGTGATTGCTGTTAGTATTTATTGAAACCTGGGAGCTGGATGGATAGATTGGGGGCAAATCAAGGTTGCCTTGACCTTGACCATTTCTGCAGACTCACCTCCATCAAGCTCCACCTGAATCCACAGAGGGTCCCTGAAGACTGCCCAGCAGAGAGGGCTAGTTCCTGATGTGGACAGGCCAGAACACCCAGTCACACAGAGCCTCTCCATCTTGTCTCACATCGTCACTTGCTTCTGAGCTATCACGTTCCACTCGCTGGTTGTACACTCGACAAACACAGTGAATTCCCCAGGGGCTGTGAACTGGTGGAAAACGCTGCTGGACAAACTGCCAACAACAGTCAGAAACATTACCAGCGTTGGGCTCACACACACGCGCATTCCCATGTGTGCATGTGTGCACTCCCACCATACATCTCCCCTGCTCTGCAAAGATAAAAAACAATGAAGAAAAAGATGGTACACGACCAAGCCACGCTCTCTGTGTTTGTGAAGGTTACACTGAGACTCCTGGAGCAGGTGAGAAATGGAAGAAATAGCTCTAACTAGGGAGTCGAATACTTGGCTGCAAGTCCGTTGTCTGCCATTTTCTCCCTCTGTGTCTCATATACACCCCCTCTCTGGGCCTTCTTGCTTCATCTGTAAAATACTATGCCCCAGCCTACCTTTCTGAGCCTTGTTTTCCCCATTTGTAAAATGGGATGAGTCCAAACATATCAAAATTGTGAGTATGTTTTGCTTCTCATTTTACCGAGGGGACTAATTTTAAATCTCTCAAATGACCCCAAAAGATTCATGTGACCTCCCCTCCTGTCCTCCTCCTCAGCTCCTGCCGCACTCCCCTTCTGTAACTATACTGGTAGCTCAGACCTCTTTCCAGTTCAGAGAACATGTCACTTCTTCCCCACCCCAAGGCCCAGAAGTGCTCTTTACAGGGAAGCCTCTTGCCCATCCCTTTGCTTATACACTTGCTCTTCCTTCAGTTCTCAGCTTAAACATCATCTCCTCAGGGGCATCTTCTTAGATTCCCTTTATAACTGCCATACTTTGCTGCTTCTCCTAGGTGACACTCACCCCTTCTGTGCTTGCTTATTCACTGTCATGCCTCCCTGTGGGGCTGTCAGCGCAGACAGTGTCTGTCTAGTTCTCCCTTTATACCTGGCATCTAGTGCAGAGCCTAGCACATAGTGAGGGCTTGAGAAATAGTTTACAAATGGATACAGTTGTGATAAAGCTTGGAGAACAGTAACCTGATTCTTGGTGCCGGCCAAGATGGAGTTAGCCCACTATAGCCTATTTCTTCCATTGATTACAACTAAAAACCTGGGCAGAACACAAAAAGAAACTACCCAAGGACTCTGAAAAGTAAAAAACAATAGGCAGATTTCGGGTGAAAGTCAAAACTTTAAGAATCATCCATAAAGACAGGAGTTTCCTGTTTTCTTTCTGGGTTTGTTTTTTGTGTGTGTGTGGGTTTTTTTGTTTGTTTGTATGTTTAATCTCCTTTATCTGTTGACTTTGTCCCGAGGGTAGTCTGGGTCATGGTACTGCACAGTGAGTAAAGAAAACAAAAACCCCAAGAGAAACACCCTCTGTTTAGCCAGAGAACCAGAAAAAGGGCCCCAGTGAGTCTGAGACTACAGAGGAAATACCCACTTTTGTTTTGTGTTAGTCTTTTCTTTTTCCTCTCCTGTACCTACCCCAGGCTGTCCTCTCTCTTGGAGCCTCACTGACTGTGTGGGGTGATGCAGACCTCAAAATCCCTAAGAGAAAACCGATCTTTCTATCCAGAGGATCCATGGAAAGGGGCCTGTGGGAGCTGGAGATTGTGGGGAAAGTCCTGAAAAGGAGAGATGCAGAGAAGATGATTCCCTAATTCTGTGTATGGCCCAGTATGAATCATGAGTTCACCCAGAAACTGCGCATGTGCAGAACAGACCCAAAGAAATATAGCAAAGGCCTCATGGACTAAAGTACAACATAAACCAGCACCCCGAGTGGCACATGAATGGAACAGACCCTGACGGCTTTGGAAACTGACCTGGAATGGGAACCACTGCTCACAGAAGGCGAGTCAGAATGTGTGGTCTGAACCTAACTGGGTTGGTTGCCTGCTAAAACAAAACAAACGGACAAGAAAAAATGAACATTTTCCAGAGTACTCTTAAAAGGACCCAGAGTGTCAGAACCTACTACCTAAAATGTTCAGAATATAATCCAAAATTGCCTGATACACAAAGAACCAGGAAAATGTGGCCAAATTTCAAGGGAAAACATAATCAGTAGATGTCAGACCTGAGGTGACTCAGATATTAAAATGTCAAAGACTTTAACCCAACTATTATGACTACGCTCCATGAAGTAAAAGGAAACCCTCTTGAAATGAATGGAAAGCTAGACATTCTCAGTAGAGAAACCGAAACTATTAAAAAGAGCCAAATGGAAATTTTAGAAATGAATAACACAACATCTGAAATAAAAGATTCATTGGTTGGATGCAATAGCAGAATTGAGATGGCAGAGGGAAAAGTCAGTGAGCTTGAAGACAGAGCAAGAGAAATTATCCAATCTAAAGAACATAGAGAAAAAAATATTAAAAATTTAAAAATGAGCAGAATGTCAGCAGTCTGTGTAACAATATCCAAAAGTAAAACATCTGTGTTATTGGAGCACCAGAGAGAAGAAAAAGGTTGCTGTAGAAAAATATATTTGAAGAAATAATGGCTGAAAACTTTCCAGATTTGACAAAGCACATAATTTTAAAGATTCAAGAAGTTCTGTGAAACCCCAAATGTAAAAAACAAACAAACAAACAAAAACAAAACAAAAAAAAAACCTTAAAGAAAACCTTGCCCACACATGTAGTGAAGTGCTGAAAATTGAAGATAAAAAAAATCTTGAGATCAGTCTGAAAAAAAAATGATACTCTACATGTAGAGAAAACAGTGATTTGAATGACTGTAGATTTCTTTGGAAACTGGAGGTCAGAGACAGTGAATGACATCTTCAAAGTGTTGAAAGAAAAGAGCTGTCAACACATAATTCTGTAGCCAGCAAAAATATCTTCCAGGAATTAAAACAAAATAAAGACTTTCTCAGGAATAAAGAAATTCTGTAAGAGACTTTAGTGCTCTAAAATCTACTTTAAAAGAAATGCTTGGGCTTCCCCAGTGGCTCAGTGGTTAAGAATCTGCCTGCCAGTGCAGTTCAAGCCCGGGAAGATCCCACATGCCGTGGAGCAACTAAGCCCGTGTGACACAACTACTGAGCCTGTGCTCTAGAGCCCATGAGGCACAACTACTGAGCCCGTGCACCACAACTACTGAAGCCCATGTGCCTAGAGCCCGTGCTCCACAACAAGAGAAGCCACCTCAATGAGAAGCCCGTACACTGCAACGAACAGTAGCCCCCGCTTGCCACAACTAGAGAAAGCCCATGCGCAGCTACAAAGACCCAACGCAGCCCAAAATAAATAAATAAATTTATTTTTTAAAAAAATGAAAAAGGCAATTTGAAGGAAGTTTTTCCAGCTGAAGGGAAATGATATCAGAGGGAAACTCGAAACTTCAGGAATGAAGGGAGAGTGCAAGAAAAGGTAAATATCTTGGTAAATGTAGCCTATTTTTCTCCTCTTAAGTTCTTTAATATATGTATGACTGTTGAAAGGGCTTTTCAATGTATGTAAACGTCCTACAACTGACAATTATAACATAAAAGATGGCAGGCAAAGGAAACTATATGCTGGTAAGGCCATAACATTTTACCTGAAGTGGAAAATATTACCTCTAAGTAGACTGTGAAAGGTTAGATATGTATATTGTAATCCCCAAGGAAACTATTTAAAAAGTAATACAAAGAAAAATAACCAAAAAAGCCAATAGGTAAGCTAAAATGGAATGCTGAAAATATTCAAATAATCCAAAAGAGGGGAAGAAAGGAGAGGAACGGGGGAAAATAAACAGAGGGTGCAAACAGAACACAAATAACAAAATAGTAGACCTAAATCTAACTATATCAATAATTACATTAATTGTAAACAGTCTAAACATACCAATTATTATGCCAGATGAGATTTTAAAAAACCAAGACTCAACTATATGCTGTCTATAAGATGCCCACTTTAAATATGACAATATAGATAGGTTAAAAGTAAAAGGATGGTTGTATAGCACAGGGGACTCCACTCAGTGCTCTGTGGTGACCTAAATGGGAAGGAAATACAAAAAAGAGGGGATATATGTATACGTATAGCTGATTCACTTTGCTATACAGTAGAAACTAATACAACATTGTAAAACAACTATAAACAATAAAACAGTAACAGTTAACAACAACAACAAAAAAGTAAAAGGATGGAAGAAAGATGTAACAGCAAACACTAATCAAAAGAATATTGGAGTGGCCATTATTAATATCAAACCATGTAGATTTCAGAACAAGAAAACTAGCTGTAGAAATGTGAAGATGGCCTTGAATCCTACCTGTTTTTCAGCAATCTGTCTGGAAGAAGCAATTTATTTCATTCTCTAAACTCTGGTGCCAACTGAAATTGCCCAGGACTAAAAAGCAGAGAAATGGACTTTTCTTTTTTTGTCACCCAGTGATCTCACCCAAGAGAAAAGAGTGCAAAGTGGTTTAGTAACTGCTGCCAACAAAGAGAAGCTGTGCTTGGAGTACAAAGCAATGGAGACAACAACTTAAATTTAATGATCCTATGACCCAGGAATTCCACTCCTGAGTATAAACCCAATAAAAATGTGTACATATGTGCATGAAAAGACATGTACTAGAATGTTCACAGTTGCACAAGTTGTAATAGTACAAATGGGAAACCACCCCAATGTGTATCAACACTAGAATGGATAAGTTGAGGAATATTCATACAACAGAATGTTATACAGCAGTGAGAAAAAAGAAATCACAGTTATACACAGCAATATGCATAAATCTCAAAAACATACTGAGCAGAAGTAAGACACAAGTAAGACACGATTCTATTTATAAAATTTTCAAACACAGGTCACAGTAATCGATGATGTTAGAAATCAGTATCCTTGTGGGGGGGCAGCCCGTGGAGGATTTCTGGGTACTGGGTCATGTTTTGTTTCTTGATCTAGGTGCTGGTTACATGGATGTGTTTATTGTGTAAAAATTAATTGAGCTGTATCTTTTTGTGCAGTTTTTCTATACATATCTTATGCCTCAATAAAAAGTTTAAAAATTAGTTCAAAATTCCATCACTTACTGGTTTGTATACACTGCTTTGATACTTGGCGTGAATATGATACAATTTAATGGGAGGTCCCCCAGACTCAGCTCTGTCCAGAGGTGACTCAAAATAAAGACCCAAGAATTACGGCAATACCCAGATCTGTCAGTAGGTGGCGCTGAATTACCCAACGCTGGACTTGGACAAATTTCACTTTATTCAAATTGTCTCTATAGGCACATAATATAATTTCAGAAATGTAGAAAGTTTCCCACGACAAACAGAGAAACAAAACAGCTTGCCATGCAAATGAACACAAGACATGGGGAGTGCAAGGCTAGAAGGAGCTTTTAAAGGAGAAAGCCTTTGACTTCTTACGCTGTTTCTATTTGAGGTTGAATCCTATCCATTAGCTCATGTGATTTATCTAGGATGGAGACGGAGTCCGATTTGAAAAATCCACCTCTTAGCCTAATGAGGAGTTAAGCAAAAGTAGGAGTCCGTACAAACACATTTGAAAAAAGCATAGTGACGTTTGCACGAAGTATGTGACTTCTGTATACTTAAAATTCATGCCATTTCTCACGTTGTAAACTGAGCTCTGAGGCTGCTAGTACTGATAAGAAAGCATCAGAAATATATCTCCCAATGTTAATAAAAATGATAGCAGAAGGTGAGTGGGTAGTTTCAAGGTCTAACAGATCTTTAAAGTAGACAAAATTGGGTTATCGGGTTGGAGTGATGGTGGAGGGTATCACCACCTATTCCTTTCGAAAGAGAAAAGAAAATGCAGTAGCTTTCACTTACAGCAAATGCCCAGAAGGTTTGCAAATGTAAAGCATTGTTTATTGCTGTTTCTCTTAGATTAGGAAAACATTTAATCACACAGAGAATTCCAGAGAGTAATATAAACACCCTTGGACTCACCATCCAGAGTGGATAAATATTTGCATTTTGTCCCAATTGCTCCAGTTTTTTTTTTTTTTTTTTTTTATAAATAATACACAATGTATGTATTTATTTATTTATTTATGGCTGTGTTGGGTCTTCATTTCTGTGCATGGGCTTTCTCTAGTTGTGGCAAGTGGGGGTCACTCTTCATCGCGGTGCGCAGGCCTCTCACTATCGCGGCCTCTGTTGTTGCGGAGCACAGGCTCCAGACGTGCAGGCTCAGTAATTGTGGCTCACGGGCCCAGTTGCTCCATGGCATGTGGGATCTTCCCAGACCAGGGCTCGAACCTGTGTCGTCTGCATTGGCAGGCAGATTCTCAACCACTGCGCCACCAGGGAAGCCCCAATTGCTCCAGTTTTTAACTACATTTGTATATTACTGAAATGTCCTTGTGTAACTAACGAACTTAGCAGGGCTACAGTCAGTCAATTTTGACTTATGCCAAATCCATTTGTATAAAATTTGGGGACTGAAAGACTGTGTAACTTAGCATTTCTTTCTTTTTTTTTTTTTTTAATTTATTTTTGGCTGTGTTGGATCTTCGTTTCTGTGCGAGGGCTTTCTCTAGTTGCAGCGAGTGGGGGGGGGGGCACTCTTCATCGCGGTGGGCGGGCCTCTCACTCTCGCGGCCTCTCTTGTTGCGGAGCACAGGCTCCAGACGCGCAGGCGCAGGCTCAGTAGTTGTGGCTCACTGGGCCCAGTTGCTCCGCGGCATGTGGGATCCTCCCAGATCAGGGCTCAAACCCGTGTCCCCTGCATTGGCAGGCAGATTCTCAACCGCTGCGCCACCAGGGAAGGCCCAGCATTTCTTGTTTCATTGATGAAATGGTAGCAAACGGGAAGAAACCAGCAGAATAATGCCGTGGGTATTTCTATCAGTTAAACCTTTTTTTTCTCCAAAGCAACTTCATATTTAATTTCTCATTTTACTTTGGAAACAGTTAAGATCGCCATCAATATAAATGTGATAGGGAAGGAAATGGAAACCCAGAGACTGTCTCTGGGTCTCACGTCATATCTGGGATAAGAACCCCAGCCTCTGGACACATTTTATTTTGCGGCATGGCACAATGCCTGAGACCCCAGAGGACTTCTGAGTTTGAGACCCGCACTCACTGGATCAGATTTGGACTGTGGACCGGGTTGGCCCCCGGGTTGCCCCAGCCCACCCAGGCCTTCTGAGAATGGCAGGCAGCCACAGGGCTGAATTCAGAACCTCTAGCCCACACAGAGTAGAACCAGAGATGTTTCAGGGTTAGGAGAGGTGCTTATGGGCCTCCATGATTTTCCTGGGGATTCTTGATGTCTCTGAAATGAGCCAGATGCCAAGGAGGATCTGGAACTGATGGGGCACCCCTTTAGCTGGGGCACCCAGCAGGGTAGAATGGAGCTTACTCCAGGACCAGGTAGGACTTTGAAATGTTATAAACTGTGTTCAGCTGCCTTAGCTTGGGGAGCTACTCTTCCCTGGAGGGTGCAGCGTCTGGTGCCCTTGGGCCCCGATACTGCGTGCTGTGTTCTCCACCAGGGCCTAAGAGCCTAAGAGCCTGAGCTTTGATTCCAGGCAGTCCTGGCTTGCCTGGCTATGCTGTCACTCACCAGCTGCGTGGCTTGGGCAACGCTACCGGACCTCTTTAAGCCTCAGTAGCTTTGTCTGTAAAACAAGATGATTATGTAGTTCAGCACTGTCCAACAGAAACTGTGTGAGCCACATGTGTCATTGTAAACTTTCTAATGGTCACACTGAAAAAAGTGAGGAGCAGGTGAAATTAATTTTAAAAATTTATTTCCTTAACCCCAATAGATCCAAAATACTATCATTTCAACGTGTAATCAGTATCAAAACATCACTTAGTGAGATATTTTACATTCTTTCATGGGAAGGGAGCTACATCTTCAATATCCCACGTGCATTTACATTTACAGCACATCTCAGTTGAGAGCAGCTGTATTCTAAGGGCCCAGTAGCTCATATGGTGAGTGGCTGTTATTCAGGACAGAGTAGCTCCTGCTCATGGGGTTGTTGTGAGGATTAAGTGAGATTGGGTGTGAAAGCTGCTTAGCTGGACTGTTATTAATATTGCTACTATTATTTTTATTATCCTTATCAACAAAAAACATTCGTACACGCAGGCGAGCATCTTCTTCACCCCGTTACTGACTCCTTGGACAGTGACTCAGGGAAGATTCCGCAGAGCCGAGCTAAAAGGACCCAGTTCTCCATGACTGAGTGACCTTCTCTCTTGAGAAAACCTGTGAGCACCCTTCCTCCCATTCCCGTATGTATGCCCCTTTGTACTGTGACTCTGCCTCTCCTTCTACCAACACGTGGAGACTATTTCTCCACCTGTTCAGTGTGGGCTTGGCCATGGAACTTGCTCTGGTCAATGGGACATTAGAAAATGTGACACAAGTAGTGATTTGAAAGATGCTTACACATTGGGCCTTGCTTTCACTCCCTGCTGGAAACTCTTCTGCCACAATGCAGATGAGCCTAGGCTAGCCTGTTGGGTGATGAGTGACACATGCCACTAGCTGACATCCAGCTAACTGCCAGACAAAAGAATGAGGCCTTCCTAGGCCATCCAGCTGAGCTAGTCCAGACAAGAAAAGACACCTAGCTGATCCAAAGAACCATGAAAAATTATAACTATTATTGTAAGTCACTAAGTTTTGTGGTGTTTTGTTATGCAGCAGAAACTGACTGATACATTTTTACTCAAGGAATTCCTCTTACCTTGTGGGGTAGTAGGGATCGAAAGTGTGGCCATCCCCCATATTAATTATACAGGACAGGTTTCCAATGTAGGGACAGAAGAGCCATGTAAGGGAGATGGTGACATTGTCAAAGATGAAACTCTCGGGCTTCCCTGGTGGCACAGTGGTTGAGAGTCCGCCTGCCGATGCAGGGGACATGGGTTCGTGCCCCGGTCTGGGAGGATCCCACATGCCACAGAGCGGCTGGGCCCGTGAGCCATGGCTGCTGAGCCTGCGCGTCCGGAGCCTGTGCTCTGCAACAGAAGAGGCCACAGCAGTGGGAGGCCCGTGTACCGCAAAAAAAAAAAAAAAAAAAAAAAAAGATGAAACTCTCATTGCACACCATCAGCTTCAGGCCTGCACATCAAAACTCAAAATACCATTTGCCGTTGCAAAGCAGACGTTTCTGTTTAAAACCTACTCTCTTCTATCTACCTGACCTTTATCTTTAGTGGGGCTTTTACAGTTTTAAATTTTTTATTTTTACTTTTTAAAGTTCTTTTGAATTTTATTTTTCATTCCTAGGTAATACATGACCCAGATACAGAATTTGAAATGTACAAAAGGGTCTACAGTGAAAAGAAAGCCCTCCCTGACTGCTACCCCTCAGTCCCCCAGTTCTGCTCCCCAGAGGCAGCCATTGCTACCAGTCTCCTGGGTCTCCTTCCAGAGATACCTACACACTCACAAGCATGTACATACTTTTCTATTTATACAAATGGTGCTCTGTTCACTATTTGGCACCTTCCATTTTTTTAACTTAGTATATTTTGGAGATTGTTCTATATGAATTCACTTAGAGCTGCCTTATACTCTTTAATAGCTGCACAATGTACCCTAATTTATTTAACCAGGATCCATTGATTGTCTAAATGTATTTTATAATGATTAAAAAGGCAAAAGGCAAAGCACCTTTAGGAAAATCTCCTTGGCTATGGTGGCTGATGAATCATTGTTAGCAGTTTAGTGCACATTAAATTTTACAAATTTGAGCTTCACAAGTTGGCCTGGAGGATGGGGTGAGGGGTAGAATTTGTGGTGGTTCACCCAGCCATGGGCTGATTGGTGCAGCCAATGGTCTCTGACTTAAATGAGAAGGGAAAATATGTAAGAAGCTGAATGCAAATGAAAAGGACTTTCCTGAGCTGGTCAGAAAGCCATTGTGGTCCTGATTGGTACTGATTCATGATCATCCGAGGAAACTCAGGATGCAGCAGGCCCTTCTGGGCACAGAGGCAGGAGGTGGTGGGCAGGGGATACTGCTGGATGAAGTCATTCCCTTCAGAAATCAGAAACTGACGGTGATCAGAACTCACTGATTCACAAGGGACAAGATATTTGAAATCAAAGTCAGGACAGAAAATCTGGTCTATGTGGTAGCCAGACCCAACTCACCCCCTACCCCTAAGCTACCTGTCTGTCTGATGATAGCAAGGCTGCAACTGGCAGATCTCCAAGGGCACCCTTTGTCCAGGAGCAAAACCACCAGATGGAAAGTGCTGCCAAACCATGTGGCCTCTCTTCCCAGAAAATAGAACAAGAAACCCTGCTCACTCTTATTCCACCCAAGTGTGTTCTGCGAACTAGTGCCACCCCCCCTTCCTGCACCCTCTCCTCCGTGCAGCCCTCTTCCTCCTGTCCCCAAGGATCCCGCTCTCCTGGATGGCCCCTGGGGACCCCAACCTTCTCTGACTCATCTTTCCCCTTCAGAGCTCCTTGAACCATTACTCACGGACTCGGTAGAATTTGCCGTTCTGACTGATTGATTGGTTGGACAATGGCATAATGTGGTGTCCCAGCTTGAGGGGAAATTTGCACTCACAGTGCAATAGGAATGAACTCGATACAGCCATCTTCGAGGGTAATGTGGCAATGTCTACTAGCATTTAAAATGCACGTACCCTGTGACCCAGCATTTCCGCTACTAGGGATCTCTCCTCTAAAAATAATCCCAGGCATATGTCAAGATATATGCACAAGAATGCACAAGAGAGCACTGCAGAGTGATCTGTAACAACAAAAACTCAGAAGCAACCAAAGTGTCCATCAAGAGGGGAACAGGTTGGACTTCCCTGGTGGAACAGTGGTTACAAATCCGCCTGCCAATGCAGGGGACACGGGTTTGATCCCCTGGTCTGGGAAGATCCCACATGCCGCAGAGCAACTAAGCCCGTGCGCCACAACTACTGAGCCTGCGCTCTAGAGCCCGTGAGCCACAACTACTGAGCCCACGTGCTGCAACTACTGAAGCCCGCGCGCCTGGAGCCCATGCTCTACAACAGGAGGAGCCACTGTAATGAGAAGCCCGCGCACCGCAGTGAAGAGTGGCCCCCGCTCACCGCAACTAGAGAAAGCCTGCATGCAGCAACAAAGAACCAAAGCAGCCAAAAATAAATTAATTAATTAATTTAAAAAAAGAGGGGAATGGGTTAAATAAATTTTGACATAATCTTATGATGGGATACTATGCAGTCATTAAAAGAATAAGGTAGTGACTTGGAGAGATGTCCAGGATATATTATTAAGTGAAAAAAATTGAGTTGTAGACATATACATTCATACACAGCCATGTATATGAAAACACTTTAAAAAGCAGGGGAGAATTTATTCTAAACAACTGAGTAGTTTCTTTATGAGGAATAGAATTGTTGAATTGAAGGGAGGGATTCTTCCTTCTTGATTTATAAAACTTTTATAAATTCTGGTAATATGGGTTATTTTTATGGTTTTTTAGATTTGTAAAAGTCCCTGTGCATTCTAAAATGGCAGTCTACAGGGAGGGTGGTGGTTGAGTGCGTGTGGCATGTGGGAATCCTTCCAATCAAGTAATCTTGGTTTTGTCTGTTGTGTTTATTGGGTCACCCCATGATATTTAATTTGAAGGGTCCTAGAGTTAAAACAGTTGTTTTTCAACTTCTGGCTTGATGGCTTGTTTTGCAACTGAACCTCAAATGTTTTACCCTGCAGCTAAGCCAGGTGGGGAGGACAAGCCACAGGGCAGCAGTTTTGGGTGAGGAGATCTCTCAGTACTGAGCAGATCCACCCTCATGGATAGCTGTACCCTGTGCTCCAAGGAGGGCTAGAGATAAGAAGGGAATTCCCACACCCAGCCAAGTTGGGGACTCACCTTCCCGGCAGTGGTACTGCACCCACAGGTAACTGCCCCAGGTGGGGCACAGGTCTCCAAAGTAGGTCCCATCTGCTGCCACCTGGCAGGCCTGCAGCCCCCTGGCACTGGCCTGGGAGGCACCCACATCCCAGCGGAAGCAGAAACCGTGTGAAGGATATTAAAGGATAGGGTCAGACAGAGATGAATGACCTTGCATTCGTTCATTCACCCACCATCCCCCCAACGAGTACCTGTTGGTATCTACTGAAGACCGGGCACTGAGCCCGGTGCTGGGGGAGAAACAAGTAGGATTCCTGCCCTCAAATTTCTCAGAGTCCAGCACAATGGTTCCCAAACTTCAGAATACCAGAATCCCCTGGAGGGCTTGTGAAGACACAAATTTCCAGACCCTGATTCTGATTCAGTAGATTTGGAGGGCAGCTTGAGAATTTGCTTTTCTAACAAGCTTCCAGGCGATGTCGATGCTGCTGGCCCAGGGACCCCACTTTGAGAACCACTGGTCCAGTGGCATCTACTCAGATGGTCTAAGGTAGAAACCTACATCCTGAGAACTGGCAAATTGGGCACAAGATTAGGAGCCCTGTGTCTGCCACGGGCACCAGGTGCCCACAGGAGGGAGGAGTGTGGAGACCCCAGGCCAGAAGCCTCAGGGTCATCCCAACACCTGTTCCCTCCACCCATGTAGACATAATAGATGCCTACAGAGAGGCCTGGAGAAGGGACAGGCAGATGCTGTGGCCCTGGTTCCCTTCTTGGCTTGAGAGCATCCTATGGTTCTGCCCTGCACTGCCCCACTTTCCTTGTTCTCTTTCGCATCTTAGAAACCCATGCTTGCTCCGGGCTTTGGCATATTTAAATGCTCTTTTCCTGTCCAGTTGCTTAGCCAGGCAAGCCCCACCCCCTCCTCAGTTGCTCTCCTGGCCCTGGTTCCTCCCCAGCTGTTATGGTTTTGTGCTCCCCTCACCCGGTTTTTAGCCATGGGCCGATGACTCCTTGATCTATGTCTCTTGTTTAGCTCTCTCTTGAGTTCCTATCCTGTATGTCCAATTGTTGACACAGCATCTCCACTTGGACGTCACAGGGCACTCCAGGCTCCTCATATCCTGAAATGAGGTCTTGATCTCTGATTTGGGTTGAAGTGTGTCCCCTCTAAAAGGTATCTTGAAGTCCTAACCTTTGGTACCTGTGAATGTGAGCTTATTTGGAAACAGGGTCTTTGCAAACATAATCAAGTTAAGATGAGGTCATTAGGGTGAGCCCTTAATCCAGTATGACTGGTGTCCTTTGGACACAGAGACAGGGCATGTGAAGTTGGAAGCAGAGATTAGAGAGATGCACCTACAAGGGTTTGTGGCCAAGCATTGCCGACAAATACCGGATGCTAAAAGAAGAAAGGAAGGGCTCTCCCCTGCAGGTTTTGGAGGTAGAGAAGTCCAGCTGACACCTTGATTCTGGACTCAGCCTCCAGACTGCAAGAGAATGTGTTTCTGTTGTTTTAAGCCACCCAGTTTGTGGTACTTGGTAAGGCTGCCCTAGGACATGAAGACAATCTCCCTCCTCCACCTTTGCCGCCAGCTGCTCCTCCCCCAGCCTCTTCTCTTAATGCCAGGGTCATCCTGGACTCCCATCATTGACAAGTCCTGTCAGTACTTCCTTCTGTTTCTGGAATCTGTCCATTTCTCTCCATCTGCATTGCCCTCCAGCCTCCAGCCTCTCTAACGTGGGTTTCTGGCATCAGCCTCCCTTGTTTGGACTCACAGCAGCCTGCGGGCAGCTTTAAAATACACCTGGCTGTGATCCTCCCCTGCTCAAAACCCTCCAGTGCTTCCCCAACATCCTGGGGCTAGGGTCTGGGTTCCTCAGGCACTAGTGCCCCACCTCCCCCCGTGCTGAGTGCTTTGCAGTTCCCTGCACCTACCACGCTCTTC